CTTTTTATTTCATACATTTCCTGCCCACAGAATGTATTTATATTGCACATAGTTAGGAGGTATTATTAGAGAGCTCTGTTCTGGCACCTGAGTCATAGCACCTTTAACTTGACACCATAAATAGACATGCTATGTGACTGAGACTGCTTGGGACGTGATGCCTCAGCCTGTGCATCGAAGGCTCTGCCTCTTCCTGAGAGATGAGGCAGACCTCATACTTGGACTTTTTCTACAGCGAAGTCCCCTGGGCCTGATCCCTAGTGGACGTTTGCATGAGCTCAGAGCTGAGCCTGGTGCTGGGAGCCTGCTGGGTGGCCTCGTAGCCCCATATGGACATGCGTTTGAAGCGTGCCTTGCTGCCCCGGCCACGCTGGAAACGCGCTTGCGCACCCAGGTATGTCTTCTACCCCTGCTGCTGCTCCTCTGCACGCTGCTGTCGTTGCTGCAGCTCTCAATGAGACTTTAGACAGCTTTGCACAGCGCAGTCTGCCCAGGGGCTGGGGTTTGGGCTCCAAGGTAAAGGCGGCTCAGGTCACCCTAAGTGTCAAGGCAAAATGTCAGTGAGACGCTCTCTAAGCGAAGGGTGGCAGGACCTGGGGAATTCATCACTGTGGTATTGACATAACTGCCTGCTCTGTCGCCTCTGGGGGAGGCTGGAGGCCAAATCCTTGGCATTTGTGGAGGTACTCAATTGCAAAACATTACATCTGTGCAAACCAACTGGCCAAAGGCAGAAGTTAGGCACTTTAGTCTGATTTTTCTGAAGCACCTGCTTAGGCATGTAAGAAGAGGAGCACCTGATCTCAGTAAAGTCCTTATAATGGCTGAATTATTTTCAGCAGCTGAGGTGATGTTCAGGATTTCAGGAGGGGGCGGGAAAGAGAGATCTTTGGGAGGTACGTCAGGCAGTACCTCGAAAAGCACTTGTCGGGTCTGAAAATGGACTCTGTTACGCTACTATCTGTACTAATATCTATTTGAATCTCCAAATGCATGACTTTGCCCAAGAAGCATCAGATCTCCCTTGCGTAAGCTGGGAATACGGTCCAGGTGCTACATGGACTATGTGATGCTTTGGGAGGTGCTTGACAGTGTGAATTGCACCTGCTCAGCAGGCTTCACTTTCCTTGAGGATCAGACTTACACGTATCCACCACGCAGCCCTGAAGAGCAGGTGCATTAAGACTCTCCAACAGAAGAGTAATATCCACAGTGGAGGCAGAGTGTGTGCACTACAGTATATGCGTACGTTGGCTTCCCAGTTGTCTGGTAAGCCTGAGTGGATTACTGCACCATAATTCAAACCACTGTTAGACGTTTAGAAGTCCTGGAAAAATGGGGCAATCACTGTTTTCTATCCGAACAAAAGTTGTGAGTGGGGGAAAAGAGAATTTTTTTCCTTAGGGGATCCTGAATATATTTGCCCCATAAATACACTCATGTGTCAGCAGGTGTTAAAAAGAGAGTCCCAAGTATTTTCCTGGGTGATATGAAACTTTACAGATCATCATATTTGACCCAACTGTTGGGACTACAAAGAAATCTCTGCTATGGACTCCAAGAGATCAGCAGACAGTCCAGCACAGTTGTTGAGCTTGGTCTCTGTCTTTGAGAGAACGCCATCTGAATATGATGCAGTACGCGATGTGGTTTCCCGAACAGAATAGTCACATTCTTACAGGAGACTATGGGCAGAGGGAATTTCAATTTTAGTTATTGAACATGGAATCACTTATGTTTGTGTGCTTATGCAACTCTTAAATCAAAAGGAAATGAGAGCATGGGTGGTCTATGCAACCCTTTGTGGAAACATTGTGATAACTTAGGTTATCCTTCAAATGGCTAAGTGGCAAGGTGTATGTGACTTGGAAGAATTAAGCACTGGGGAGACCCTATATTCAGAACTAGCCTGACCTCGTGCTGCTGTCTCTCAAATTGCATATGGAAATCATAAGACTTCAATACCATTAGCACAGGCTCTACTGAGTCTCAGATGATTAGTTTCTATCGGATTAGCAATCCATATAATGAATGACATAATAAAATTCTGCACAGCAAAAACAAGTGTGCTGCCACTGATTACCATTTTAAAGTATCTACCAAATCCTCTCCCCATTAAAACCTTCTTGTTAATATTGCCTGCTCTAGATGAAAAGACATCTTACTGAATTCTTGGTTATGTGGTTTTCCTCCTCAGATTTCTGTGCAAGCATGTGTTTCACAAGGCATATTGAAGTTGTGTCATGGGCAAAAACATGCAAACAACAAACGTGTCATTTTCTAAATAGCTCCTGTAAAATGGTGAGCAATGTTGCTTTAACCAAGCAGAGAGTTTTCAGAGGCATCTCAGAAAAGAACAATTTTGCAGACTCCCAGCCTGGGGCTAAAATTTAAGCTGTGACAGTGGTACTTTAGGTGACCATTGAGAAGTCACCTCAATTTTCCCGTTTGTGAGACAGTGACAGTGTAAAGCATCAGGGGTTCTACTAACGAAAAATATAATATAAGGTCCACATATAGCAAGCCTGCCTGGCTTGACATCTAGCTCTTAATAAGAGGAGTACAGGGAGGGAGAATAAGCTGTCTCATTTCTTGCCTTAATCCCCTGCCTGGCTGTTTAGGGGTGAATCATTAACCAAGCACTTGTGTCTGGCAAAACAAAGATGTTTTTTGAACTGCTTTTGCAGACTGCCCCGTTGCATGGAGCCTTGGCCTTCTGCAGAAGAGGCTGCTGCTCCTCCCCACGCAACAACAGCAACGTGGGGTCTGTCTGCTCGCTGCTGTCCCTTGGCTGGACACTGCACTTCCAATGCATTTGTATACTGATGGATTGAGGACCTGCTCTCGCTTTTTGCGATGAGAAAATGGAATGGTGGATGTATTTTGGGGAAAGGAGTAATGAGATATGTTAACTTTTCCTTTGATTCCTCCTTCATAGTTATCTGTGAGTTTTTGATAATAGGCATGGTGCTCCTTTTCCTAGGGGCTACTGATGACCTGGAGCTGTTCTCTAAAGTCACGTCAACGCGCAAATTCTCTGTATACGGAACATGACTTTTGAGATCCCACAGGAGACGACTGTATAGTCTGAAGAAGGCTACAGAAAAGATACCTTTCTGTGAAAGGTGAGATGGTTTTGCTAATGACTGCTTCTTATATTTCCTTCACAAATCTTTCTGCTTGCGTTGAGACCGCCACCACGGTGTGATGGGCTGTAATTCTTTGGGGTGGTGAGGAAGGAACAGTGCAGTCCAGACAAACCTCTACTTAACATACTTATTCAGATGAAAGTTGCTTGCCTTTGTCCTTTTTCCACTGGCCCAGACTGAAGGATTACTGCAATTCTGCAATGTTATCAAAAGGGTGAGTGCTCTCATTGTAAATCTGTAAGTCTTAACCCCTCTTTGTCAGAGGCAAAGGGAAGCGGTGCAAGTGCACCTTCTCATAGAACATCAGTCCCATCCATACCACAGACAAAATGTAAATGTTGATTTCTCCTTTTTAAATACAAGAGCATTTATCTGCCAGTCCTCAAGCCCTATTTCCTTGGTAAGGAGAGCTCTCTGGATGCGTTACAGTTGCAATTGCCTCAGTTCGAACAGATGTTCTTGTCTGTGTTTTTAAAGTGAATGGCCTTGATTTTGCAGCAAAGTCAGTGAGATGTCATCTGAATGTAAGGGTTTGGGTGCATTAAACTCATTGCAGAATGAGGGCCTATATTTATATTTCTCCCAGAAAGTCTTGCTATACTGCACACAGCCTCCATTTAGAGGGTTTTACTGAGACTGCAGATTCAAGCATTCAAAATTAGGAAACACCAGCAATGAGACTGTCAGTTCAGTGTTAATTCTTCCAGCTGTGTCCGTATGTGTGATAATTGTCTTGACTGACTTGATCGCAGTATATTTTTTGCAGTGGCCCCTCTCCTGCTCAGTGCTTGTGGTCCTGAGATCGAACGCAGGCTGCGTAGCGAGGGGGATCGCCGTGCTGCAGACCCGTGCTCGGGCCATCGCGGGAGCTGCAGCTGCCAGCCGGACCTGCTGCTCCTGTCGGCTCCCTGGTGATGCCTGAACACATTTCTCTCAGAAATGCTAGCTCTAGTCCTGGTCCTCCCCTCCTTCCTACCCTTCTCCTCGGTCCCTATGAGCTCCTAAAGGCAAACCCGGTTTCAAATAAGTCTCCACCTGCTTTGATCTCTCCTCCACCACTTGCTCCTCTTGCTGAGGCTCCAGGCTGTGCTTTGTCCTTGCCCAAAACCTCTTTTTTTTTCATTTTCGTCTCTTGCTGTTACAGATCCGTGTCTGTCCTCCCGCTTTGCAGCTCGAATCAAGCCGTGCCCCTGCAGCTGCAGCTGTGCGGGAGATAAGGGGCTTCTTCCCCGCAGCACAAATAGCAGGTAACTGCTAGTCTAAAAAGCCCTTATGGAGCCCTCAAGGGCAGTTTTTCCCAGCTTCACAATTTGGCCAAGTTTGGGTAGATTTTAATAGGGAGAGACACGTTTCTGCCACAAAGGCCACCTCTCTGCCAAATTTCAAGTTCCCCTTCTGAAGCTAGAGCTTGTATAAATAGTTGTCTGGAGTTATTTAATCTAGGCCAAGCAATGTATGTTTCCCCAAATAATATTCCTGGAAATGGCTGAACTGTTTTGGCTAAAGCAGATGCCTAACTGTTTGGAGTCAAATTCTCAATGCTCAGATTTGGCAAAGTTTAACAGCGTGCCATTTTCTGTTGCTGACGGTGGGGAAAGCTGAGGCACCCCGCCGGTACGGAGGGAGGTAGCACTGCCTATCAAACACCCAGAGGGCTCCAACCAGCAAGCGTCACCTTTAAAAAACGGGCTGCTTGCAGAGAGCGAGGAATCTCCCTGTGCTTGTGCTCCTAATGAGCTTTGCAACTGCTGCCTTCATCCCCAATAACAGACACAACAGCCCACCGCAGAAGTAGTCCCCAGCAGAAGTTTCACCACGTAGTTACAGCATTATGGTTACAGCTGGATAGGACTGCGACGTGGGTGCGGACAACCTTCCTCCCTGGGGCATGGTGCCCCGAGGCTCCTGTTCTCATTCCTGGTGATATATAAAGCTCTGGTATGTAAACAGACTCTGAAATGCTCTGGCACCCCTCGCCAGGTTGGCATTGCTTCAAGGAATATTATTACTTTGGGGGTAGAGATGAATTTCCTGTCTCTAATTTCTTGGTATTTTATTTTACAAAGCAAAAGAATAAATGAATGAACGAATAAAGGAAATCGGTTCCACTCTTATACTCTTATTCTTGCTGACCTCGGCATCCTGAGCTGGATAATCGTGCCTTCTCCAAGTTTGTGCTGTGAAAGTCTTTTGCGTAACTTCACTTGCTGTTGAGCAAACAGTGCTGGTATCGTAGCATGGGCCCAGCATTTTCATTAGCTACAAGACTGCGAGCGTTTCCTTTTATACATACAGTGCTCATACGGTGTAGCTTTGGGTGCAGGGCACCTCAGCCTTACTGCAGTTCTAATAACAGCCTAGAAAGTTGTTTACCTTTCTCCAGGCATCTGGAGAAGTCTTTGTGGTTTCCTAGCTTTAGATGCACAACCAGCTCACAGGCTACATAGTGAATGCAATGTGAGACTCATCCTTGTTTATACTCTTTTTTTTCCACTCCCCTCTTTATGTTCTGCTCTGCTTGGTTGTTTTCTACCCGTTTTCTCTGAGGCTGGTGAATTCAGTGTTGCATGCGATGGAGCTGTATATTCTGCCAATCTGTGGCAAGTTGTTGCTCCTAGCCAAAGTAATGGTCAAAAAGCAACTGCCGTGCTGGGCAGTCCACGCTTCCACTGCTCTTGCTTTGGTAGGAGGCAGAAAACATTTCAGAAGAGCAGAGACTTTCTGCGTGTGCCCTTGGGCTTGGTGCGCGCAAGGCCTGGTCCAATGAGCCCCTTGACCGTGAGCAGCTTCTGCAGCCTCTCCAATTCTGTCTGATAACTGTAACTGCAAAAATTGTGGAATAGTCCATGCTGGCGTATTATTCTCCATGCTACAGAAAGAAAAATTAAGCTGCAAAATGACTAAGTGCCTTTTCAAAGAGCACAAAATGAATCAGTGAATGAACAACAGAACCCGGCCGTCCTAGGCCCCCCTTCTCGCTACAGAACAATGCCTCTTTCCCCATATCGAGATGTATACGTGCAGCATAAAAAGTTAATGTGGTTCAGAAGAAACTGGTATATTAATATTTATATTGTAATGATTCCACTGTCCTCTATGCTCTGTAAATAGCAGCACCACAACAATGTGAATTATTCCTTTTATGCAGAACCCCGTCCAGCGAAGTAGCTTGTCAATGCCAAATAAAATTTCTGCACAAAAGTTTGACAGCTACATTCATTGTATATGTCAATCAAAGAGCCCTAAAGGCTTTATTATCATTGTACAATGTCTGAACAATCTGCTGGTCCAATATGCCACGAAGTTATTTTCTCACTACTTTTTTCATTTAAAAAATAAATAGCCACCCATAACTTTTGTCAAACAGTCTGAGAGAACTGCATGAGTAACAAAGAAATTTTAGATTTTCTTGGGTGTCTGTGGTCTGGAGGCTTTCCAGTCTTAACTTACCACGTTATGCTAACGTATCACAACGCTTATGGTAGATGAGATCTGATCAGAAACACAGAACATACAAATTAAATTGCAGCATAAACAACAGAGCAGGCTGAGACTATAAAGACGGCACAGTAGGTTAGAAAGGAACAAGTTATGTTAAAGAGAAGTGAACTTAACCATTTAACCCTCTTTTTCTCTGATTTTTCCAGGTGTCATACGTTCCTGCTCCTTTGTCCCAGTTCTCCCATCAAGGTCAGGATCAGCCTTTTAAATGGTCACGGGTTGTTTTCTGAAATGTAGTTTCTTTGATAAGGTCTTGCTCTAAATAGCCTGGCCATAGAACTGGCCATAGAACTGAGTTTTCCGTTCAATTTTTTCTAGCACTGCCTCTTTACCGAACACATCAAAACACAGATGCCTCTTATCACTTAATTTGTCATAATTGATGTGGGGGGAAGCACGAGAGCACGGCCGTCTCCCACGGCGGGAAAAGGGCTCTGGATGCTGCTGCGGCCGGGCTGCGCTGGGCAGCCCCCCCCCGCTCTGCGGCCAGGGCAGTGCCAGGGCCAAGCGCTGCTGCAGCGCAGGGTTTGCCCCTTTTTGAGGGCATAAATGTCAGCTGTGTTAATCCTCTGGACCCTTCCAGCGAAGTGTAAGATAGCCACGAGAGGGAGCTTACACAGCTCTGGAAACATCCCGAACAGCAGCTGATCCTGCAGAGTTAACTCTTCCTGCGCTGCCAGTTGCTGCCCTGCTTTCTCCCAGGCTCTTTTTCTCCTGGGGATCATGCCAGCATCACCAGGGACGTGCTTCTGCTTGACAGTGCTGTCGAAAAGGAGAGCAGGAAAGTTAACGTGTGAGTTCATCAATTGGTGTCGCCCTTGCTGACAAAATACGGTATTGTAGTCTTGTGCCATTGCACGATGACTGGCCCTATCGAATCAGACTTATGAGGGCTTTGTAACTTGAGCAACTTTAATTTACACTGACCTGGAGCCTAAATTAAATTTCCCAGTTCAACATATTTTGGAGGCTGGTTACTTCTTTTAAGTTGCCAGATTTGCTCTTAGTGTGCATTGGTACATGGCTAGGCTTTCAGACACGGGTTACAGATACCGCAGGAGTAGTGAAAGCTCCGAGCTGTGCTCCCTGAGCGCTCTTCTGGTCGCACCTCTCCGATGGGGCTTCACTGGCTTCTCGTGGGATGAGGTGCTGCTTTTGCCATGTGCTAAAGCTTTTTCTGAGCATTTTTCAGTTGTTGACCTGAATAGGTTAGAGTAGTTCTGCTCTCACGTTTTGGAACGGATCAAGGGGGTGTTTAGAGGGGATGCTCTTCTGGAGGGGATGCATAGCACAGGAATGCTGGTCATGACAATTAATACTTATACAGGAAAGGCATGGTGCAGATATGGAAAAATGGAATTGTGTTGTTAATTCACGTGCTGAGGGAGCTGTGCTGTCCAGCTGAAAGCTCCGGGTGAGATTTCTCTGAGGCTCTTTGTTTGCTGTTGCATCATAGGAATGTGCAGCACAGGCAAAGTTAGAGATGATTTTGTAATCCACAAACTCCACAAGTAATCTAAATAGTCCAAGGCTGGATTTCTTCCTAGAAATCTGCGGAAAGGAGGAATTTTATCAGTCCACATAGGAATTCTGAATTGGTAGGTCAAGTAGGGCTTCTCTGAGAGAGACGGGTGGGATCATGTCCTTGAGGATGACAACCGTGCTCAAGAGTCCTGGTACCATTTCTCTAGTGCAGGTCCATAATGCTAATGCATTTATTGGTGGACGCTAACCTGGGAGTTCTTCATGGTACACAGGAGCTAAATGGACAGACCAACGTTTTTGACAGATAACGCTGAAAATGTTTGTTGGTTTTGGTGTGGTCTCACCATATACCTACATACACTCCATACACTACCGTCCACTCTTTTGGAGGCCTCGCTCAAAACCTTTTTGTTTATGTTTTTAATAAGTACCGCTGGGGTGGCAGTGGGATAGAAATCTTTCAGCACAATTGCTTTGTGGCAAGCACCAAAAGTTGTGCAACAGAGTGGCTGTCACCTGTGACAGTGCTGAGAGTCAAAACAGTGGCTATCTTCCATTTCAGTTTTGCAAAACTGAAATCAATTGAGCAAAATTAGGTGATGCTGACGGGACATATTCTGTAAGCAGGATGGGCTGTACTCGTCTCGCTCTTCCACCTCTGGCCAAGGACAGAGACTTCATAGAGTGAAGGTGCAACAGCAAAGACATTGCGAACGTTATTCCTCTTGTGGCAGGTCGAGGAGCTCCAGTTACCATGCTTGGTGCTGTACAAACATAGGATGAACCTATCCCAGTTCGAAAGTGTCAGCCATGAGCGTCACTCTTTAGTTTGTGCCTTCCGCCTCCAAAGTGAACCCTCCTGAAGGAAGCGGGCGGATGTGTCAAGGCACACGAGGATGGCGGGAGGCAGAGCCCCGGCTCCTTCACTTCACTGTGTGCAGGAGAGCTGTGACTCCCTGGGGCTGCACCCACTGCACCCATCACTTTACTGTCTGGCTTCACTGCCTTTGTGGGAAAAAACGTTATCACCCTCTGCTCTGATAATTGCTCACACTTCTGCGCCCAAATACTTCAGCTGTAAACTTTTAGCAGAAAATACGTACTGCTGCTGGAAGGACTGCTTTTGCGGTGAGGAACTATTTTCCATTGTCTCTCGCTTTTAGTTGTGTGGAACTGTTGTCGTATTTTTTCAATGTTTAATGTGACCTAATTGTGCATTTCCACTGTCTGGGAGAATAAGCTGTTCTAGTGTGATTGTTGCACTGAAACTGGTGCCATTCTGAAGCCTTTCCTCCGTTTGCAGCTGGAAGTGAGACACAAGTTCCTTGATTTTGCTGTATCAGCCCAGCAAAACGTTGCGTGGCTGTGTATGCAGCCAACTGCTTTACATTATGCCTGGTAATGGACTGTCAATTTTCAAAAGAAATATAACCTCCAGCTCTCTAATTTGTTGTAGAAAAAAAAAAGAACTGTTTCTAATAATGCTCATTTTTACTTGGCACATTTGGTTTTAAGCAGATGGAGGTAATGGGTTGACTTAGAGGACAAAAGACAAAGCAAGATGAGGAAAAGTGCACAAAAGGCTGCAGTGTTAGAGTAGGAACAGGAGCTTTTGATACTGAGGCCTTGGTCCTGGCCCCTTCTAGCATTTTTTTTAAGTTAGCTTTGTGAAACTGCAACCTGCCAACTTCTCTCCTCCCGTGAGGAGCATGTGAGTCTGTACATCCTTTTGAAGCCTTCCTTGGACTGAGCTTGAAAACAGACCTTCATAAATCACCTGTGTGGGCAATGGCACTGAACAGGCTTTTATCTTCCAGGCAAGCTGAAACCAAGCTTCTGCTGTTGATTTCTGGAACACAGACACTACAGCCCTGGAAGACAAATGGTAAGTTACAAAATAGGGATCAGGATAATTTTTTTATATTAGCAGCTTATCCAGCTGTCCTGGAAAGGGTTAGAAATTAGTCCTAAAAAAATAACTCTGCAATAGCTGTTAATGAAAGTTCTTCTGTTGTACCCTTAATTATTTATATGCATCAGGAAATAAATGCATCATGTTCACTGTCCAGCCAGGAGAAAGAATGAAAATAATCTGATACAATCTGTATGTACAAACTTGCACTTTGAGTAAATTAAGTTGGAAATTCCAAGACTTAAAAATTAGGAAATATCAGAAATATGCTTCTTATCCTTCTGCATGTTCCTGATGACAGAGTTTCCTGTTACAGGGTCACATACTTGCTTCCCACCTCCCCCTGGGGTACTCCCACCACACAGCCCTGCACAAGAGGTTGCTCAAGGAATGAATCAGAGCTGTGTAATGAGAGAGACATCACTGCCGGCCGGCCCCCTGCGGCAAACTCCAAGCGAGGCAGGGGCTGTGGAAGCACGGCAGAGGCCTCACCGATTTACATAGCTGGACCGTGGTCGTTCCCGGCTACAGGTTTCCTGGGTGCTGCAGATTAAGTCCCTTAAGCCAAACTTATTAGTTCAAAGTACAGATGACATTACAGAAGAAGCCAGGGCTCCCTCTTAGGTTCAGAAACCTCTATTGCACGAGGTGTGCTAGAAGAAGCGGTCCCTGCCTGGAGGGGGATCTATGAGGAAACTTGGAGGAAACATGACCTGCCACGTCCTCAGGGAAATGAGCCTTGCAGCAGCTCGTTGCATGGAAGCGGGTATTGTCAGGTCACTTGCATGCATCATCCTCCAGGCACGTTTCCTCAGAGCGTGGTGCACTGAGTCACTGACACGTCCCTGGGACTCATGCTCATCCACAGTTCATCTACCACGTTGTAGCAAAGCTTAGAGGCTGCAGCAGATATTGAAGTCCCTTTGTATCAGGCATCATATATAAAAGAGCTAATCCCCACCTCAAAATAACACCATCTAAACAAGCTGCTGTTACGCTATATCAAGGCACACTTTAAGATATTCATCAATCTCGAGCTGAATGTGAAGTGCCAGGATACAGAACTGGGTATTATCCATTTTAAAAGGTATCTGGATGTTGACAATCTACATGGTTTCACTTGAGGGTCTTGCAGTGCTCAAATCAGTGTTTCCACCTTGGCAAACCCAAGTTTGGAGCGTTTTTGAGATGTTCTAGTGCAGAGAGAAGGCATCTCCAGAGGTCGCAGCTGCAGAGACACAAACACCGGAGGGAGGTCCCTGCCAGAGGATGCCAGCGCTCCCCTTTCCCAGCTGCCAGTGCTGCTGATCCAAGTGAGCTGCAAAGGCGAGTGCCCCGCTCTTTGCTGAGACTAGAAGAGCAGGGAAAGGTAATTGCTAGGTCATGTCACTAAGTGTTTTGTTCTCAACTGAATCAAACGCTATCAGCTCCAAACTTACAGTGATAAAGACAGAAACTTCAAAACCAAAAATGTGCATTTCATAACAGAGATACCGAGTAGAAGAGAAGGGCCTTTGGGGGATTAGAATAGAGATTAGTCCACCTCGTGTCTCTGGAGCTGGATGCACGCCCGTAGTTGCGGTTCTGAATTGCTTCTTAAGCTGGAAGGCATGTGGAAGGGAAATTGCAAAATATCAGATCTTGCAGGATTTCTGACATTTGAAGCTAGCCATGTTGCAAGACTTTGGCACTGTCAAGACTTAGTCTTCTTTTTAAAGTGAAGACTTAGCCTTAGCTCTAAAATAAGCCTAACGATTAATTTGAACTGCATCTTTACAAGCACCTCTCCCGACCGCTACAGCAATGCCCTTTAGAACAGCTGAAATAAAAAGTATTCAGTATTATTTAAAAGTTGCAAAAGCAATGTGCATCCCTAGTATTGAAATACAGTACAGTCTCTCCAGACCCTGTGTGTGCAAAGAGCTTATTGGAGCTTTGAAAGCATCTCTAATGCAGAGAAGGTGCCTGTTACACAAGCGTGAACCGTGGTCAGCACGGGCTGTTCCTGCATAAACCTGCTTTGCCTGTTAATAACACAACAAAGTTGAATTCGTGTTTCCTAAAACTTCTCTTTGTGCCATAATTTTCCCACAGCTTGTGTCTTATACTGCTTCTTGTTGAAATGCAGATATTTACAGGTGCATTGTGGTGGCATAGTGATTTTTTTTTTAATACTTTTGTGAGAAGGCTCTGTTGGTGGCTTCCTGTGATGTAGTTCATGTCACGCTGCATTATAATTCAAAGTAAAAGACCTGGAAGATTATGTAGTTAAGCATTCAAACATTAGGGTATGTCAGACTGAAAGGAGTCAAAGTAAGTTCTGACCTGTGTACATTCACTCCCCTGTGTTGTATCCTACAGCGCAGTCTGCAGCTACGCAGTGCGCAGGGGAGAGCCGTGACGTGTGTCGGTGTCGCTGCACTGCAGCCAACTTAGCCCCGCACCTTGTGGCAAGGGTCTATTGAACATGTGCAAACGGTGATTTTTTTTTTTCCCCCACAAGGTCATAGCCCAGTCAGATCTGGGAGACTGTCTATGGGGATGCCAAAAAGCCCTCTCCTCACTGTGGCAGCCTTTGCCAAATTCCAGTCCCAGACTTCAATATTCAGGAGGCAATAGATCTGCTCTTCAAACAAAAGGGGTTTGACTTCTTAAACCTGGGCACAACAGTGCATTTCAGAATCTCGTTCTGGTGAGGACTGAGATATCTCAGTTGGTTATGTGAAAATATCTAATTGCATCAGAAAGAGTATTAAAAAAATCAGGTGTATCTTGACAAAGTTATAAGCAGCTGGAAATAGGAGAATGTAATGGGACATATCAGGCAACGTTTCATAATAGGTGTCCCTATCACTATCTGTAATAATCCTTTCATTCAATCAGTTGGTTGAATGCCACCATATCATCTCTCAAACTCTATTATATTTTAGCTATTCAGTGCTCAGAAGGTCAAGTGCTGAATGAGTTTAGAGGTGCAAATCTGGTGGTTGCAGCCTGCTCCCATCAATACTGTATGTTTTGCAGAGCCTCAGCTTTGCATGCCTGCTAAGGCTTTGACTAAGATTAGTTTGGTTCAGAAAACCAGCCCTATGCAACAGATCTCTTAAACACAGAATTAATTTCTCATAGGCTGACTTACCCTGTTGAGCCTTTAAGCTAAAGCTGCGTTTTCTTGCATTCTTCAGTTTATTTTAGCAGGTACTCACTAAATGTTCCCATGCTGTAATATTAGAATGAAATTTAGAATTTTGCTCAACATGGACACAAGTGTGCTTTTGCTTTTGTTTTCCTGCTTTGAGTATTTACAGCTTCTCGGGCCTTTTTGAACTAGGTGTTGCATACAAAATGATTATGTTCTGTTTAATCTATTTCTGTAGGAAAAAGAACGTATTTTCCTACATATTACAGAGTGTTATGATGCAGAGGACAGTTTATTTCTAGATGTACTTCTTCTAATTTTTTTAGTGCCATCAGCCTTGTCCTGTGTTATTAGGACAGTGATTTTCAACACTGCCCACTCTTAGTTGTAAAGCAGTGAGATCACTTCATTTTTCACTTCGTGGGAAGGTTTACGTTTGCAAATCTTTTCCTGATATGAGATGGACCAAACCCAAAAAGCTTCCTAAATCCTGCTAATTACATAATGTATAATGGAAATGGTTTCTTTTAAAAAACTTGAAATGCGATGTTTTTATTTTTACTGTATTTCGTAGAAATTTTTAAAAAATGTTTTCAGAATAGAAAATAGAATGTTTCGTTGTAGAAAGGTTGAAATGGAGCACGTTAATCTTATTAAGACGGTCCTTTTTATCAACCTATAAACTGAATTTTTTTGCAAAGCTGTAACATTTCACTTTCAGCTGATCAGCAATTTCCAGCAATTTGCGACAGCTCTAGACAGTTACCATAGAAGTTTCTTGTCAAACAAACAAACCTGTAGGGCTTCGCAAACAGCAAGCTGTAAAAAGTACTCTTTCTTCATCATTCCTTTTCTTCTGTGTATGAGTGTTTCAGCTGATCAGCGTCCGTGTCCAAAATGTGCTTTATCAATAATATAAGACAGTGTCCTGAAAGAGGTGATTTCTTTCCATCCCTCTTACTGCTGAATGGGCCTCATGCGAAATCTTGCTCAAACTTATTTTGAGCTGTTATGGATAGAACATAACATAGAGAATTGAGCTGCATTTTAACAAACAGTTGTGTTTTATGAAAATAATGCTGTCTGAAACTGGATAACAGATTCAGGAGCCTTCACTGGGCATCCAGCAAGATGTAACTTTGTCATCGTAAAGAAACTGCTCAGGAATAACTCAGAACATGCTCTCAGAGCTTGGATAGTATAACTATTAATTCCTAAAAGGGAAAAAATTGTCTCTCTTCTGTGCTCTGACCATATCTTTGAACCGTTTAATAAGAATTCTTTACCTCACCCTGATATGCATGTATGTATTTTAAGAGTGAGATAGAAAGCACAGCAATCAGCTGACTAATGTAGGGCAATTAAAATGAGTCAAGACTGAGCACATCCCTCGATCCTGTGTGCGCCTCATGGTTGCTTCCAGCTGTTGCATGTCTTGAGCAGTGCTGTGGAATTACGGGGAAGGGGAGGAAAGGCATGGCCTGTTTCAGCTATGGGTTTTTTACGGCTGTCAGGCTTTCCTCATTTGTCCTTTTTAACTGCATTACTTAAAAAGGTCTTTATTATCTAGTTGTTCTGGCTTCTAAGATAACGGTACTTTTAGTTCATTGATTAAGACCTTTTTTCAGCAAAGCCTTCCAGCATGTTTTACCCCAAACCATGCAGAAAGTCATAATCTGAAGTGACTATCTTACCCGTATGCTGGAAAGATTTTTTTTTTTTAAGAAGAGAACTTCCTTTTGGAAAGAGCTTCCATCTCTTGCCAGTCTTTCCACACTGAAATCAAAGAGGAGTATTGGCATCGTGAGAAGTTTGTTTGGATCTGGACCGAGGA